TATTCAATCCAATCAAGTCTGATCCAGTATTTGTTAAATGTTAAACACTCTGTCTTAAAGATGGAACCCAGAGTAACTGAGATGGCAGTCTATGACAGAGTCAAGAGACAAAACCTTAAACGGTTTTAAAACAATGAATTTGGGGCACAATAAAATGTCTGGATAAATAAATTAAGAATATTACTTTGACTCCCTGCAAAGATCATTAAATTATGTATAATCCCAAATCTTTGAAGTAAATCTGCCATTTATCAGCCATGTTGCAGTGTCTGTCTTAAAAATCTACACGTTGCAATCATTTATATTTTAAGAAACAGTTATTGATTTAGTTTGATTTGTAATTCGGTGTTCTTTAATCAGCGCACATAGACATATCTTGTACCTCCTCCTCTATATACTTATAGTCCTGCTTATTTAGCCGTTTAGGTTTGTAAATTGATACACAGACTTATGGGAATCTCCTCTTGTTTAATTTAAGTAACTTGCGGAGTTCTTCAAGGTTCAGTTTTAGTTGAGTTTTAACTCAACTTTACTCATGCCCTGTCATGTCCTCTGTAATTTGTATCTGTTGACATTGTACGTGTGTATCCTCTATGTTGGTGACAGGTACAGATACTGTTTCCTCTTTCTCAGGTGTTGCATCCCATTCTTTACGAGAGACCCTCACTGAGGATGTGATGAGCTTACAGCCCACCGTTCGTGCCTGACAGTGTATCTGTTGTCTAATAGCCTTGAATTCTTCTTTCCCAGAGTCCTCCAAGGTTACGAAACAGATGCTTTCCTTTGATGTGCTCACGAATCATCATTTGATGCATAATCTCTCTCTGTCTGTGATCTCTTTATGTTGAGCCTCTGGCTCCGAGACTGTCTAGCCTCATCCTGACATGGTGCTTTGACAAGAGAATCATAAAGCAGAGGGACTTATCCGGCTCTGGTGATCTTGTAGTAATGAGTGTCTCCTGAATCCTATATCAAAGGCATGTGTTATTAAGGAGTACAACATTATGATGGTAGCATGACTATTGGTTAGTAGCTATTCTCTGGCTACCATATTGTACTGTATGTAAACATTAAAGGAGTGTTTGTCATACAAGCTGTTCATCAATCAGACAGCATTTTGTTATAATGAAATACATTAGTAGGCAAACAATATCGTAATTGTATGTAAAGTCAGTGAACTATCATACTACGTAAATGTATATTTCCAAGCAGCTAAGGCAATACACGGTAACACTTTATATTAAGATACACACATTAACCATCAACTAGTTGTTCATTAACATGCATAATAGCAGTATATTGTCTCTTTATTAGTCATTATAAAACACTTATTAATGCCTTATTCTACATGACCATATTCTACAAGTAATAAGCCATTAGTTGACAGTTTTTCCTCAATAACCCTCTAATTAGTTCTTATTTATTGCAAGTAAGGAAGTTGTTGTACATGAGTTTGGGTCTTAATATGCGCTGCACAATATGGGCCTAATAAGGCAGTAGTACCACAAGAATAGTAATTCTCCCATAATAACACTTAAAGGTGGGGTAGGTAAGTTTGAGAAAACGGCTCGAGATACACTTTTTGTTATATTCCATGGAATGCTCTTAACATCCCGATAGCAATGAATATCTGAAGTGCTTTGACAAAAAATCCATTAAAAAACGTCATCTGTGGAAGGCGTGGTACTGTAAAAAGCACGACCAATCATTTTTTAAGTTTGTGCACAGATGGAAGAGAGGCAGGTAGGCCATCCAGTTATTTTAGCCGGGCCGGCTCAGATGATTGGTCGTGCTTTTTACAGAACCACGCCTTCCACAGATGACGTTTTTTAATGGATTTCTTGTCAAAGCACTTAAGATATTCATTGCTATCGGGATGTTAAGAGCATTCCATGGAATATAACAAAAAGTGTATCTCGAGCCGGTTTCTCAAACTTACCTACCCCACCTTTATGTGCTTTGACAACAAATCCATAACAAAATATCATCTGAGCCGGCCCGGCTAAAGTAACTGGATGGCCTACCTGCCTGTCAGCCTTCCATCTGTGCACAAACTTATCTCGAGCCCTCATTGGTCATGTGCGCGTTCGTGTGTGTTGGAGGAGGGGCTCTGTGAGGAAGTCTGAAGGAAGGGGCAGATTTTTTTCGGGTGCATATAGTTTCAAATTCTAGCGCACTCAAGCTGGTTTCTCCATTCTTACCTACCCTAACTTTAACACTTATAGTTTCATGTCTTGTTACATAAGAATAGATCATATTTGTTAAGTGTTTATGGGAGAATTACTATTCTTGTGGTACTACTGCCTTATTAGGCCCATATTGAGCATATTAAGACCAAAACTAATGTATAACAACTTCCTTACTAGCAATAAATAAGCACTAATTAGAGCGTTATTGAGGAAAAACTCTCAACTAATGGCTTATTACTTGTAGAATATGGTCATGTAGAATAAGGCATTAATAAGTGTTGTATAATGACTAATAAAGAGCCAATATACTGCTAATATGCATGTTAATGAACAACTAGTTGATGGTTAATTTGTGTACCTTAATATAAAGTGTTACCAAATGTCCTTATAATTACATGTTAGCGAAGGACTCATTCACCAGATGGGAACCAAATAAGTATTCCACTTTCGGTAAACATACATTTTTAATATATTTTAATCTTGCCAATCTAACATACCCATAAGCAGCTGAACTTCTTTATAGGAGCTATGTATTTCAGGATAAAATTGCCCTTAACCGTACAGTATGTTTAACCATATGTCCTGAAAACTCCAAAGTGTCCACAGTAGCTCATGAAACAGTTTAAAGGTCCAGCAGTCATGCAATAGCATACTGCTGATGAGCAGTGACTCTGTCCTGCACACGCCTCAGAGACTGAGGGACATTGCCTCTGTTGAATTGTAAGCATGTCCTGTATCACTGTATTGCGTTTTGCAAAGTAAAGCCTGTTTTTATCAGGACTGGCTTTGAATGAAACTCAAACCAGATGGAAGGATATTGGAGATAAAGGGAGCTGGAGTCCATGTAGGATCAGAACCTTTTGGTAGTATGGGATGAGACACGATGATGTCATTACACGTACGAAGCAGCATGCATGTAGAGCAGTTTAGACAATAAAGGCTACACTGATGAAACCTTTAATGGCTTTCTTTCATTAATTATTGTAATTTCCTCAAAGAGGCCCCATTATGCTCATTTGTAGGTTCATATAAGTATTTTTGAGCCTCTATTCTGACATGTCTCCATGCTTTAATGTTCAAAAAGCTCTTTTGGTCAGCTTTCTGTCCCCAGAGTCAGAACTAAACATGGAGAAGCAGCGTTCAGTTATTATGCTCCAAATATCTGGAACAAACTCCCAGAAACCTGCAGGTCCGCTGCAACTCTGACTACTTTTAAATCCAGGCTGAAGACTTTTCTTTTTGTCGCTGCTTTTAATTGAACTATTCATATCTTAGACTGCACTGTAACTTTTATCCATGTACTTTTTTCTTTTAATGTTTAATTTATTATCTTTTCTTTTTAATGACTGATTTTAAATGCCATTTTCTTAATCTCTTTCATTTTTTGTAAAGCACTTTGAATTGCCTTGTGTTGAAAAGTGCTATATAAATAAACTTGCCTTGCCTTTATTTTTTCTCATACTGCCTGTGCTGCTGCTCCTCTTTTCACCCTCTGTCTGAAACCAGAGCCCAGTCTGCTCTGATTGGTTAGCTGGCCGGCTCTGTTGTGATTGGTCAACCGCTTAGAGATGTCCCGCCCCTTAGCCTATCACAATACAAATAGGGGTTGTTTGGGAGACTTTGGGATTTTAGCTGTAATTTTCAATATTGATATGTCATGTATCATTATTTATCCTTTATTGTTAACCTATAGGCTTAACATTGAGTTACAGACAACATCTGCATTATTAAGACCTATTTAACTTGGCATTAAGCTCAGGATCCTATAAAAACATCCTTCACTTTCAATACCTGTTTATGACTAATGTCTAGATTCCTTACGCTCCAGATTAAATGAAGTGGTGCAGCAGGTGAGAAAAGGCATACATTTTGTAAACAGCAGTCAGAATTATATAAATGATTCTGGTCTCTTTTTACTCTGGCATGAAGCCACAGTGTAACACACTCTCAGACGGATCACACGTTTCAAAGCAAGATCAGATTATGGAGCGAACAAGCTGAAAAGCACCCAGAACTAAAAATAATGTGTGCATGCAACACGTGAGATAGCATCAGGAGGTTACAGATAAACATAGTAACAGACACCTGCATTTCCCAGAGAGCATCTGATCTCCTCCAGACAGTTTAAAGAACAACACAACCTCTCCAACCTCATTTGATCATTTTGTGTGTGAAAAAACAGCTCTTCTTTTGAAGTTGTACAGAGGACCCAGCTTGATTACCATTTGAGATTGAACACGATCTGGTGAAAGGTAGAAAAGACCGCTGCTGGCAGGTCTCTTCATTAGATCTTGGAGTTGGACTAGATTAAGTATCCAGGGTATTTCTGACAGCGCCACTCTTCTCTGTCCCATTTAACCCCGTATGTTCCACTTTCACTGCATCTGGGAGCCAGCTGCAGCTCTCTGTATACAGTGCAGTGTGTCTGAGTCTGATTGGGGTCACTAGCAGGTCTGTCTCATCCAATATGCAGCTGATTGACCAACTAGGAGGTCACCAAAGGTCCAACAAGCAGAGTCCACAAAATCCTAGAAAATGAAGTTTTGAATCTCTGTTCTCGATTGGAAAAAAGCACTTGAAGAAAGTTAGTCACAAAGACAAAGAGATTCAGAGCTATTACGTTGGCTTAAAGTTGACGACATCTCATCAATGCTGTTGAGTTTTCCAAAAAACATGAAATGATTTGCTGCCATTTCAAATCAAGTGGAGTTGTTTGAGAATGTGTTCTGCATTTAAAACGCTTTGGTGAAAATAAAAAACATTCCACAAGCAACAAACTCAAAGATTACAAAAAGGAAAAGTAAACAATCATTCTTTTGCTAAAAATGGTTTATTGGACAAGGAAGATTACAAATCTGATCCCTTGGTGGCAACCATCAACCATCTGATTATACAGTGAAACTCTTAAAAGAGAATCACCATACGGAAAATATTAGCAACCCACGAGAGAAAAAAAACACAATCATGATAATGATGAAAATGTAACAAAATAGCAGGACTGTAGAGAGATTTAAAAGCACCACAACTACATGCACAAGGGTTAAAAAGAAAAATGTACTGTTAGAACGGAATAAATAGACTAACTCTGACAAATATAAAGGTTAAAAAATGTTTCCTAGAAGCTTGGGAAGGTTCGGGTTGCATATCCTTATAAAACATATTTAATACTGATTTGTTTTGCAGACCATTACATGAACTAATGGACCATTTCAGTGCAGCATAAAGTCAAGTGTGACAAGAAGCAGGTGTGTGTGTGTCCTAATTCAAACAAGACATCATGTGAAGTCACTTTCAGAAGACCAAGGCACTCGACTTTTACATTAGATACACTGCCACATGCAAACATACAGTACAAAGCAACTTTTCTTTTTAATTTGGACATCATTAATACTCAACATTCATCCCCTTTCTATTCAAATACTGGTCAACAGTACTTTCCATACAGGTCTTGATCTTTGAATTTTTACAGAATGCTTTTCTAACCAGTCATCAGAATATACAAAGTTAGTGAGAAACACAAACATCTATTGTAAAGAAATGTTTAGTTTTTTTTAATTACTAATTCAGCAGAATACTGACCTCTCCTACTATATTTCACCATCAGAGGGAGTTTAGTTGATTAAAAAAAGTACATATTTAAAACAGTAATGTCGTAAGACTAAAAACAACTGAGCGAAGTAACATGATAGACAGTTGATGTGAAAGTGACACAGACAGAAGAGCGTGGTCTTTGACAGAAGATCAGTGGTCCCCACATGAATCCTGGTAAACATCACTGTTTATTTATGTTTGATCCACCTTTAATCCTTCTCCAGTGATTTATAGTAATCCTTCAGCACAGCCCAGGCCTTCGGGGCCATGAAGCCGTCGGGAGGATTCTCTCCCTCGCGAGCCATCTTACGCATTCGTGTGCCTGAGATGAAATCGTAATCTTGCTTGCTGCAATACGACAAAGAAGAAAAGAGTTTTGAGTAACAGACATATTTCAATCAATAAAAAGATGCTTATCAACAACAAAAAGGAGCCAACAATAACCGCCGGCTGCCTTTGAATCAAGTGCAACCAGGCACTAGGCTAGCTAGCATTTCTGCAAATGCAATCCTAAAATGTTTGGCGGGTTATAAGAAAAAAAATGTACTTGGGGAATGTGACAGCTGAAATTGATGTGGAGCAGCTACTTATCCCACTATTGAATTTGTTGAATCTGCAAAGACCCAACAATATGCTTGTAGAGGGGCACTTCTATAAGCATACACACACAAACCTGTCAACAGACCTAGTACCGTTACTACCAGGAACATTATTACATTATTTAGCTAAGTCCTAGCTGCTGTAAAGTAGAGCCGCGTTACAAGCAGACCGAGGAAACCGTCAAATTGAGTTAAGGTCGGCATGATTTAAGCTGATCCCTTCAAATTTGCCTAGTTACGCCCCAAATACCGATACTTTGGAGATCTCTACATCCAACCCAGTGAAAACAGACACGATGACTGTTTTCGTGTGAGAATATTTATGACTTAACTTTTTTTATATGCTAAACCATTTCTGGCAGCTGCTTTAATAGTCCTCAGAAATCAGTCTGTGGCTGGAGATATACTGTGAGAATACAGTACACACACACACACACACACACACACACACACACACACACACACACACACACACACACACACACACACACACACACACACACACACACACACACACACACACACACACACACACACACACACACACACACACACACACACACACACACACACACACACACACACACACACACACACACCAATAAAACGTATATAATTCATGTCTTAAAAACCCGTCAAATTCCTGTGTTCATTCAAAATACCTTGTTTGTTTTTGAGATATTCATGCCAGCATATTTTCTAAATTGTTGGGAGAAGATAAAACCAATAACAAACATCTCAAACAACTTGAAATCAACCATGAAGAAACTAATGATAACATGAGAGCTTAAAGCGTCAGCTACTCTCACTGGTGCCCTTTGAGGATGTTTAAAGAAAGAACTTATTGACTGCAGGAATTAGAAATATCTATACCTCACCCTACTGATAGACATTCGTTTGTATTCCTTATTACATACATTTTGTGTCATTCTCTATGAAAGAAAACTTCCAAAAATGCAATTCAGTGACTAAAGAAAAAACCCTGAACGTTAGTATCACACACTACTGTAAAACATTCCCACCCTCCAACTGTCTGTCTGAATGAAGGGACGAAGCTGTGATCGGTTATTAAAAAGTACTGACGGAAGAATTGTCCGAAAGCTTCTTTTCAAAATCAGAGCACAGATTTTTCCCGTCCAAACATTTCTCAAACCTTCCGATGGTTTCTTCTCCCTCCCTCTGACAGACGGCTTCTCACTGCATGTTAAGCTCAGAAACAATATGAACAACTTTGTTTGAAGCGAGCAGCCAAGGACAGACTTCATCCAAGAGCCGGGTGAAGAACTGGCACGACTTCATCACATCTTCACTAGCGTTGTTGATAAATGGCTGTCAGAGATAATCAGGACCGTTTCAGACATCTTGTTAGCAGATACGTACATTTAGCTCCGTGGAGCTGACGTTCAGAGAGGGTCCCTGGCGTTCGTGAAGTCACATTTCTAATTGCTATCACATGACAGAGCACATTGTGTTGCTCGGATACAATAAGAAGTCGTGAAGAAGATCTAGCGTGAGGTAAAAGAGCTGCAGGCAAATTCTTTTGGGAGCGTTTTTTCTACAGTGTCAAATGAGAAACAGCTTGCAGCGATACGAGCCATTACACTTTGGAGCGATATTGAGGAGTATTGCTGGTGATTAGCATTTATATTCCTCCTGATATTTGGCAAAGTGCTGTAAGCGTGCATGAGAGAAAGGAATGCCATCAATCTAACGGAGTGATGACTACAGAGTACAGACTGTGGGAATCCAGTAACCATCTTGCATTTCTTCCTCCAGCTCTAGCCCTAAGAGGATATCAAGCCGTTGGATCAATGAGATTCGGATGTAAAATACAGAATCGTGTATTTTACTGGAGGGCGGGATTTAGTGATTTAACGTGACGTTCTGAAATGCTTTTAGTTTAGTTCATTGAAGAACAACGAGGCTTTTTTCCAAGTTTTTCTTTCGCACTTGATATACTGTACAACATGAGTATAGTTTACATACATCTTGTGACATATACACATTTAAAAATATTGTTTCTTTATTATATTATTATATTTGGGGATACTTTTTGACTAGTATTAAGCGTAGCTAAGGAGGTAGACCGGGTCTTCCGAAAATCGTTCCTCCAGTCTGCATGTATGCTACTGTTTGGGAAAGCCAGCGTTTAGATTAGACGAGGACATTGGCAGCCTCTTTGTGTAGTGAAGTAGTAAAAGTTGACATGTGTTGCAAAGTGCTTTGAGGGTTCCAAAGACTACAAAGGTGTTAAAGGTGTTATAACAGGGTGTATGCATTTCCCTATAACGATGTTGCTTAACAACCGGCGTAAACGGAGCTTCGCACGCTATCAAGCAGTGAGCGCGCGATGTCCTGTTCAGATGACGTCCAATCCAACGGGATGCCATAAATAAACTACACAGAATCACACTACACACCTACGCAATGATTACATTCAGGCAGACTGTAGAACACGACCTCTTTGGACAATTTATATACTCATTGAAAACAAGCTACACAATGTAATGTACCTTGGAAAACGCCCGTTAATACTTTTTAATAGCCTTGATTTTCGCTAAATGTATTTATCAACTTTGAATCCTTTTAAGACCCCGCGGACCCCCTGATGTATGCTACTGTTTGGGAAAGCCAGCGAACCTGAAATTGCTCCAGTTTGTAAGTATGTGTAAATGACCATTTAGATTAGACGAGGACATTGGCAGCCTCTTTGTGTAGTGAAGTAGTAAAAGTTGATATGTGTTGCAAAGTGCTTTGAAAGAAAGACTACAAAGGTGTTATAAATACAAGTACATAAACCACTAGTTCTTTAAGCGCTGCCTCGCTAATTAACTCAATAATAATTTCGACTGAGAGTTACAGATGTGTAACAGAAGACAACCAAACGCTACACGATTGATTGATTTTTTAATCCCAGGAGGAAAAAAGTGGCAAAGCACGAAACAGTTTTTCTCCTTACCTGGTCGTGTCAAAATGAAAAGTGAAGCGTAGCTAAACAAAGCCTTGGTGGTGCTTCTAACCAAACTATTCTTAGCACCACTAAGAGCACGAGATGTTTCCAATCAACTGTTAATTTGCACTAAACGTGCATCATGGAAAACAGAGCAAATCTTTGATTAGTTTGGCAATATTTAGTTTTCACATTCCTCACCAAACACTTCCTCCCTATAGTTGCATAACTTGCATCAAGGCAGTGAGATTGCATGATTGTAGTTAGTCGTCGTGGGCAGTGTCTGTACACAGACTTTAATTCATGTCAGGGCTCTGTCATTTCTGAGCAACATCAAAGATTGGGATAATCTAGAAAACCTTTAAACTGGAAAAGAAAGAAAAACTATTCCTGTTACTCTTGGCTTGATGTTTTACTGTTGAAAGAGACGAAGAGAAATGGATGAAAGCTTTTAAACAAGACAAGCCTAATTAGTTATTTATCTAGATCATTTAATTTAGGTTAAGGCTGCTTCTAATTGGCCTAAATGTGACGTATTACTCTGGAGTAAGTCTACTAATAGGCTATTTAATTGAACATGAGTGAGCACTTCCGCTTTACACTCAAACGGTTCCTGGATTTCATCACCCTAATAAAACGTACAGACTATGGGAAACAAGACGTCAGGCATTTTACAGATGATAGTTATAACACAAACAAGGACTCACTTTTTGGGGTCGTAAAAGTCCATTGCTCTTTTGACCTTGTTGTAAGCGGCGACCTTAAAGGGAACGATCTCCAGGGTGATGAGGCCCGGAGCCATGGTGAGCACCTTGGCGCCATGAGTGGGCTCGTACAGATCCTTCCCCGTGTCGGGGTGCGGCATGCCGGCGGGGTCGCGGCCCACGATGTAGAAGTTGGCTCCGGCCACCATCCGAGATCTGCAATGCCACTGAACCTGTGGGAAAGAAGAAAAGATAGCAAACATCAAAATACAGCTGGGAAAGGTTTTGTATTTATGTGTTGTTTCAAAGGCTAGTAGAGAAATACTTTCTTTTTTCTACAATGTATTTTGAATGGTTTGTCCGATAGCGTCTTTTTTTTAAATAATGTTTGGATCCAGCTTGCTGTGGCTGCTTTCATATCTAATGGTGCCATTTTTAATAAGTACTCAGTAAGCAGAGCTGGAAGAGTTGGGACAGACAAGTCGGGAATCTAAGTTTTAACGTTAGCTGTGTCAGTCATTGTTAGCAATAGTAGCTGATTAGCTGTTATTTTACACACAAACAAACACTATAGGAACATGCCAAAAGATAGGGCTTGGAAAGCACTGAGTATGAGAGATGTGCAAGTAGCTCAAGTCTGTAGGGATTTGGCTTGGGAACCGGAGGATGGCCGGTTCAAGTCCCGATCAGACAAAATGTGAGTGTGGACAGGTAGCTAGAGAGGGGCCAGTTCACCTCCTGCCAAGGTGTCCTTGAGCAGGGCACTAAAACGGCACTCTGTATTTGTACTGTGTACATATGCTCACACAGTAAAACTGAATGTAATGTACCTACACTTACCATTCTCACTTGTTAGTAGTACTCAGCCACCTCTAGCCAGCCAAACTCCCTCCGGAGCTTTCCTTTAGTATAGGCACTGATGTTTTGTGTTTATCATTAATAACGGCTACATCTCTAAATTACTCTTTACCAGCTACTAATACTACTTCCATTACAGTCTTGCCCATGCAATCAGTTAAATCATGTCTTTCGATTCTGAGATTATGCTATAAAAAAAGTGGTTTTAGCTCATTGTGGATGTGGCAGGTTTCGGTGTGTCAGTAAAAAATAGGTAATTTTATTGATTCGTTTTTGACGGGTAGAACAGGTTCATAAGCATCATACCAACACTGAGTCTGGCTCTCTAAAGCTCCCATTCGGAGCAACAAATGGAATAAATTGAGGGCCTGACATCCACCAGCCTCAAAATCTGCTCCCAATAATTTGGGCTGTAACTTTCAAATGATCCTAAGTGAATGATTAAAAGATTCCCAGCCACACAGCTACGCTCTGTCACACGAAGAGGTTTTCGTACGGCAAGGGAACACTTAACAGAGCGCCTAGAGACAATTGCAAATCCCCTTTTCCTGTACACTCTCAGAAATGTGCAGACACCAAGTATATGACAGCCCCTCCCCCTGTGTGTATCTGGTATCATTACTCAGAGCTGCAGCCACATAGTGTTCCCTGTCAGTTTTGAGGAACATATTATTATTTTTAAAGAAATCTCAAGCATGTAACCGCAAACACAACACTCCGTTAAACCGTTACCTCAGTTGGCCCGGCATACATCATGGGTGAAGGGAAGATGGCCACGATGGTAGAGTCTGGGTTCAGGACGCCCTCCTCCAGCACCGCGGCGTGCTGCTTCATCCTCCAGGGCAGCGGCACGTCGTCGTCCTTGGTCCAACCTCCCAGCGGGTGCAGAAGCAGAACGGGCCGGCGGTAGCCTCGCTCGAGCAGGCGCTTGTGGGTGTCCTGCATCAGAAGAGCATGACCGTTGTGGACTGGGTTGCGGAGCTGGAAGGCGAATACAGCATCTAGAAGAAGCAAAAAGGAATGTGAGTTTGTTCAACTTTGACCATCTGTGAAAAAACAAACAAAAGGCCACAGTGTACTCGGAGATAATCAAGCAGCCGAACTACTGTAACCACATGAAGTGAAAGAACTGAATCACACCAGAGACTTTCCTACTCTGTGTCCCTTCATTTCCCCCAAGAATTAAACAAATCTTATAAGAACAATAAAAGGTAGCAGCTTAAAAATGCTGTTACTATGTAGCAGACTCAAGGGACATAATTCACCATTGTCTGTAGTGGTCAAACGGTGGTACTACAACTTTGGTATCAGTCCGTGACATCGTCGGGCCAAAAAATACTTTGCCATTCACTAACATTGGAAAAGAGATGTCTGTAAATCAGTGGACATTTATTTTAACTGAATCAACCACCCAGGACAGACACTTGGATATCCCTTTTTGAATCATTAGGGTCTAAAAGTTCATTTCAAAGTCCATTCATTTGACTGAGCCGAGACAGGAGATCGGAAAACGCTTCCTGCTCCAATGAGCAACTTTCCTAGGAATCAACGGGGGCCCGTCCATCCATACCTCCAGGGTTTTTACCGTCACACTAACACAGTAACAGTTGGACAGTGTCAGTTTGTCGCTATGGAAACATACTGAACTTGTTTTCCAACGGTTTTCTTTAATAAACGACACGCATATAGTTTCGTTAAAAAGTTTTTCGTCTGTATTTTCTCACAACTTCTACACCACTACTGTCTCTCTAAAAGTCCTTGGTTCAAGATGACTTTGCTGTTTTATAAACAACCGAACTTGGCCCATACCTGCGTTCATTTCTTTAAACTTCTGTTTCAGCTCAGTGGGCGTCAGCCGGTACTGATCGAGGTCGTCGTGCCAGTAGATCTTATCCAGAACCTGCAGGTCTCCCCCGACCAGCCAGTCCCCACTTTCCATCACCATCTGAAATGGGAATCACAGCGATCGTGACAGGGAACACAACTCAAACATAATCCAGACTTAAGACACTGCGGTCCATAAAAGCTTCACCGTGCTGGAACCAGGCCAGCGTGAGCTCTAATAAAAAAAGAAACCCGGAGTTATGACCCAGTTGCAGCTCGGGCACACTGGCATAACTCAGAGTCACCTTGTGTCGTTAAACAGTCAACAAGACTCCTGCATGCCCACTTCCCTTCATTTGGCCACGTCTACTAACTTTGTTTCAATACCAGAACAGAGACAAAATGAGGTTGTATTTCATAATAAAACCTGCTGATGAGCTTCATGGAGAAGTGTTCCCTTCCAAGAGATTCATCCCACATATCACAGAAGTGCTCAGGAAGGCTGCTATTGATTCAGGCAATATCTTCCGCCCTGGGGCATTTATGAGACCGTAGCTAGAGTTACAGAAAAGACGGGTCTGTGGGATGTTAATTTGATATAAAGTGACAATTCTTTAAAGGCTCGGTAATAAAACAAGCACGGCTCCAGCTCAGGGGAGAGAACTCAAAACAAATGATACAAATAAAACATGAAGTGTGCACGCATTGGGAAGAAGACTTATTGTAAGTAGATAACAAAAAGATGTGACTTACTTCATTTATCATGTGGAAATATGCAACAACAAAAGAATTCTCTTTGATCCAGAGACCCACACAGGCTGGTTTCAGTTTAAGCTGGCAAAGTATACATAGAAATCAGAAAGTGGTCAGCAGTAGAGGTGTCTACGTGATTTGATCAATAACAATTTGGCGCTGTCATAGGAAGCTTTTAGAAACATGTCTGAAACGTGATCCAATACGTCCACTGCTGGCCCGAGAAGAGTCGTGAAATAAGCTTATCACTCTTATTCTTTGGAGAGATCAACAGAGCCATTTTTTTACCTCAACATAAGTCAATCGAAAATATACGTCTGCGTGGATAGATCAAAAGAGAAGGTCTACACATGTGCTCTGTTTAAGCGCTATAAGTGCCCCCAGGACTTCACATGTGAAAAGGGCCCTAGCCAAATAAACACACTACACCATGGTTTCCGATGAAGGGGGCTCCTGTCTGACTGACAGACAGGTAAACAGGAAAAAGTGGATTAACGACATATAATATGGAGCAGGTCGTTTCTGAGCGGAAAGAGACGAGGTGAAAAAAAAAAAGCTTAACTTCCAGGGCAGAGGTGTGCTGACAGACTGGCTCCGGCGCGGGGAGTTAAACATGCACTTATGTATACATACACACACTCTTTAATGAGTGACACCTTAATCATGGCAAGCTGAACACACATGTTCAGCTGTGACGGGTCAGAGTGGATACAGAATGAAAGTTGAGGAAATACAGAGGTTGAAGCCTCAGGTGTTGAAAACGGAGAGTTATGGTACTAATTTATGAAACTGGCTTCCTATAACGTATTACCAAGCCAGATGTAATCAAGACCAAGGTGAGACAAAAACTATATCAGCTGAGGTGGAAAATGACTTCGAAGCGCGTTGAAATATTGAGACAGCTGCCGTCTGGATTTTTAGAGGCACAGGGCTTTAAAATGAGCCAATGAGGTTTACACATAATCTGACCCCAGAGGGTGCAATCACTAAATACCTCAGAGGTTAGCATCAGTTTTGTTTTTTACCTTTGTCATGATACACCAACCAACTGTATTAATCCTGAAAACAAAGGGATTTAAAATGAGCCAGACAGAGGAGCAGCTTTTGAAAGTAACCTTCACTTCCAGTCAACAGAGATGGATTTATAAAAGTCAACGTGATGACTATATCTGTCTGTAACACCAGACTGTTCCTGAGCAGGATCATTCCAGGACGTAATCTCGCCACCGAGTTTACCTGAGCCCCAGCGCAGTCGATAGGAGACAGATGGAAACAATTCTGGGGTATATTTGGAGAACGGTTGGGTGGAAGGTGGAAGCTGGCAGCGGTACAATCTCAAACGCAGAGACTCCAAATATAACACCTGCAAAATGAGGGTGGACCAGAAAGATCAAGTGATTATACTGGGCGTCCTGACAGAGTGTGAGAAAAGATCTTCCACCTATTCAGTCTTTCCATAAGTGTGGACGAGGCCAGCTCGGATCTGTGTTCGATCAGTGCCGGAGCCAGGGAGGCAGTTTGCTTTCACATGCCGAGTGTTTATCAAACAGCACACTGAGACACACTGTCTGCAGCTCTGCGATGCTGCTCTGTACTCTAAACACTGGGATTCCAACATATTAGCCTCAAAAAGTTTGAAGAGTTAGAATAATGATTTGTACCTTGATGTAGGGGTGGTCCTTGCACGTGGTGCCCCACTGGCGAGCGCACCGTTCTTCTTTGCGGTGTTCATAAAACTCGGGGTTGCGGAGGATGGCCACTCGCTTGCCCTGGTAGACCAAAGCCATGGCAGTCACTCCGTCTAAACGCTCTTTATCTGCAGTGGACAACGGCAGCACCACGGGCACCGACAAGTTGATGACGCCACCTAGGGAAATGAAAAACCATGAATATTTTTAGTAGGGGACAAAGCTTATTATGAAAAGACAAAATACACAAAGTCTGCAACAAACTGTTATTTTTACTATCAAATAATCTGCCAGTCTAAAAGAAAAGGTCATTAGTACTTCCCAAAGTCAAAGGTTGCATATTTGAATTGCTTATTTTACTTGATTATTGACTATCAAGTATAGTTTAGGGATATAAGTCTAAATATATTAAATCCATTTATCATGACTGGGAAGCATGTCAACTCCAGATTTTTGTAGCTAAAACGAGAGAATATAGACATTTGTTATCAGGCTGATCAACAAATCGAGAATTGGTGGAAAAATACATGGAAGTTGCAGATTTTATTATCTTGGGATTTAAGATCTAAATGGGTCTCTGTGAAGTTCATGACCACTACTGGCATGTTGGAGCAACGTGTTTGTGAGTATGCCCCCGTCATATCATGCATGCTCAGAGTGGGCAACACAATACAAAGTCCGGCTTCAATTCTGAAGCTTTTCCAATGATCGGCAATTGGTGGGAATAACACAACAAGAAGTGAAGCAGGCAACTGGAATCAAACATTGATATAAACATTGCACCGTTTCAAATATGTTCAAAAGATTGTCTCTACAACTGTTACTGGGGGAGTACATATATTCAAAGTGATTGTTAAACCTTAAGGACGGAGGTAATGTTTTATTGGGATGTAAACTGAACTTTTGTTTGTAAGAAACTCCACAGGGCCTATTTTATAATGGATAAGGATCCTAGAAAAACAATGTAAAGGATCCCAATGCAAAGCACTGTGACGCTCAGAACAGATATCCTACATAAAAGGCAGGTTAAAACGTTCAAAGGTTAGTATACTGAATAACACAGCTCAACTATTCTGATCAAGTTTCCATTCTGTACCCCTTCAGGCTAAAGGGGGGGGGGGGTATACAGCTTAACTACAGGCTACAGTGAGTTTTAAAGGCTGCAATTTAAGAAGAAGAGAAAAATCCCCTCTTAAGCTAAGCTGGAGCTTGACCCTTTCCCTTTCTATAACTTGAGCTGTGCAGTGACAGCGCTCTGTCGGAGGCTTCATTCTGCCTTCCAGGTTAATGAAAACGTTTGGACACGGCACGCTTTTCACATCACATCAGATCAAAAGCAGTGGAAACAGGAGGGAAAGTTGACTGTTGCTGCCCCCCCCCCCTTGACTCTCTTCTCGTCCCCTCTGTCACAGTGCAGAGCGTACAGCTGGTTTCAATAAAACACAGCAACAAGACTGCCAAATGTCCGAGAGACAGAGACACAAGCTTGGATTCTGGCCTGTGTTTATTTGTGCAGACTATTTGATTAGTCAGACATGCAGTTTTCAGCTTCCCAACCAGTGTTAGTGTTATAGGCAATCAATCCTTTCACTGAGATGTCATTCTGTTACTGTCAAGTCCCAGTGAGGAAGTGAAAATGGAGGTTTACGGTAACAATCAATACGGAAGCTTCTTCTTCTGTGTCGCTCTTCCTCCAGACAAACAGGAAAAGTGGAATCAAGGCTTCTTACATCAATATATATGTTTGCCCTTTGGCAGCTCAGATTCTCAGGCTAGCTATCTTCCTGAGGAAAGAGGTCAAATCATTAAGTTGTAAAAACGTGGTTTTATCTTTAAGTGAGGGGAGCAGTCGTGATATATACCGGTACAAATCTTAAAATGAAATACAGGCTATACAGAGTGCCACAGTGACGCGTCCTAAAACCCGGAAGTAAACTCCTTCCGGTTCCTTCAACAAAAACCAATGCGATTTCTCCATAGGATTTTGGAATCATACATCTATCGATCATAAATCCATCGATTAGATTTATGATTCGAAAATGATAAAAGTAGGGTAGACATGTGGATATTATCCGGCTGAACAAAACGTGATCTGTCTCTTCAATGTGTTTCAACCACAGACCTTATTTCCAGCTATTTCCCTAAATCCTATGGAGAAATTGCATTGCTTTTTGTCGAAGGAACCGGAAGTGGTAAAATGCTAATTTACTTCTGGGTTTTAGGACGCGTCACATAACACCATGGGACTGCACCAAATGTGATATATGTTGTCGGCGTTTGCGTAGTGCCTAAAAAAACAAGGCCTGTCTGAGACCTTTGGTATTCAACATTATCAGTCTTAAAATGTTGCTTCTAAATAGTTCCTGAGCATACTATATGAAAGAGACATTATGCCACCTTATCGAGCATTTCTTTAGCATGTCAGCTCGCAAGAAAAAAAAATTCAAGCACATCCAACAGTAAAAAACATACAATGCAAGGACACAGGGAAGGAGTATTTAGTAAAGTTAGCTCCATTTTTATCAGAGAAAAGTCAAAAAGAAACACAAAGAGCTACAGCTGACAGACATTTGACGTTCAATTGACACAAATAACACAGAACTCATGTGTCAAATAATAAACACTGTGAATTATAGCTTAAACTAAAAGGACGGGTTAACCGAGAACACATCTTGATGTTGTAACCGTGTTGAATTTCACGGTGATATATAATGTATGTAAGAAATGTGTTCTGATGTCAAGAGTAAACCATTTTGTGAGCACTCATCTCCATCTAGTGCCTTTCCCAAGAACAGCAGCTATGACTTTTTCCTTTAAAATAGTAAATGCCATCTTACCGTCCAGCAGACAGTCGAAGTGAAGACACTGCAAATACTCTCTCTCTCTCATGAAGCCGTTCAGAGGAGTGGCCCAGCCTTCAGCCAGCACCTGCACCCACTGCATGTCCACCTGAGGGTCACACACACACACACAGAGGTTTACAAGGGACCAACAACGTATGCAGTTCAAATTAGTCGGTGGAGAGATAAATAACACATTTACAGATCACAGAAAGGCTACAAGTAGTTATTTAGATGAATTCCTTTACCTTCCCAATCTGTACAGCAGGCAGAGTCTCTGCATCAGCTTTAGCCAGGTCCAGTTTGTTCTCCTGCGCGTACAGCTCTTTCACATCATAAGAAGCATCAACAGGAACTATATCCTGCAGGACAATCAGATACAGGTTTATTACCAGCTAGGTTCACACGTACCAGGAATTTGACTAGCTGTCGTGTTGCATACATAAAAGTAACAACAAAAAAAGCACACACATAGCGAACTATATTAAGAACACTGTAATAAAAAATATAGTTAGATAGCAATACAATAAAGCAGTAATTAACATTGAAATAGAATGCAATACATTATAGAATATATGGAGAGAGACGTGAACGTAATATTACATAATGAACAAAACAACCTACAAATTCTAGACTTACTATTCAGAAAAATTATTATTGATTTACATGATGCAGTTTGTGGTCACATCTACATTCATTCAAATATGAAACTGCACTGCCCCCTAGTGGCTCATAGAGTAATTATGTATCATGTCTAGACTCAAATAAGATTATTAATCCCCATGGGGAAATCCAGTGGTTTAACAGCAATAGGGTAAGGATGAAAAACAGGACAGCACAGATTCACACAGATTTTTAAACTAAATCCACTGAAAAGTAAGAGTAGTGGGGGAAAAAAGAGAAAAGACAAGAAAAAGTAGAAACAAAGGAGAGCTGTTAAACAGGCTGCCACTCACAGCACACTATGAGCCCACTAGCTGTGTTTGTTATAGTCACACACATATTATTTTAAGTAAAAATAGCCAATAAAAACCAATGGTAGCTGATTTTAAATTTGATACACTTATACAGGGGCGCGGGAAGGGGGGTACTGAGGGCGCTGCAGCACCCCCTAGTGGCAGACAGGGGGAACTCCTCTGTCTGCAAATTAGATTTTTTTATATATCATTTCATTGTGCCTGAGATATATTTTATATTATATATTATTATTCAAATGATCATTTAAAACTATATAATAAATTATTTAGCTTCAGGGAAGAAAAATAAAAAAAGATGTGGAAAAAAAGCGTTTTGTTAGTTTTTAGTCGGCTACTTTTAACGTGACGTTAAAAGTAGCCGACTAAAAACTAACAAAACGCTTTTTTTTCTTTTTTTCCGATTTTGTCAACACAAGTGACAAGTAACTGACATGGCACAAGTAACTGACATGGCACAAGTAACTGACATGGCACAAGTAACTGACATGGCACAAGTAACTGACATGGCACAAGTAACTGACATGGCACAAGTAACTGACATGGCACAAAAAGGTGTTTCGGAATTCTTTCTCACTAAAAAGGCTGAATCTGCTAAAAAGATTGAATTAGAAGATGCAGGGACAGGACATTATTATGCAGAATCTGTGTAATATGTAGCCAGGAATTAGCAATGCCTTGATAGCCTACTTCAATGAATGTCAATTCCACATTGTTGGTAAAGTAATATTTTACATCTTAATAGAGTGTGTGTGTATGTGTGTGTGTGTGTGTGTGTGTGTGTGTGTGTGTGTGTGTGTGTGTGTGTGTGTGTGTGTGTCAGGCTTGGAATTTCATCATTTTAGGGGCAAGGCCATTTGGCCTTCCCATTCACATTTTTTTTTAAGGGCACAAAGGCCACATGACAGGGCACAAAGGCCGTTTGGTTAAATTACGCTGGTCAATCAACATGACTGAAAAGTGTAGCACTAACGTCAACACCAGTCGTTTTACAAATGGCGGAATAGCAATAGTGTTTCTTAAACGTATACGTTAAGTTCAGCCATAAACCACATAAGTCAGTCATGTATTATATCAAAACCGCTTAGCAAGAAAAATACTAGATTCAAAGGTGACAGCTATCTGCTAGCTTGTAGAAGCAACACTAGATGTAGACCCCTTGAAGGGAAGACGTTAGCGCTATCCAAACTAGCTAGCTATCGCTAGTTTTCATGACAAAATGTAACGAGTCGACTTTAAATAGGCTAATACAATGGTAATTACCTATCAATAGTACTTTCTATAAACACGTAAATGTTAAGTCCTTTCAAATACTACCACATACTTCAGTTAAATCATATCCAAACAGCTTGGTCCGCTTGCTTACCTGTGCTTGTCTTGCTCCCGCGGCTGAGGAGGAGGCTGTCGGGCCCCTACAGGCATTTCTGACGGAACAATCACAGCAGAGCAATCGCTCTGATCCACAGGCCCGGGACTATCCTACTGCGCGCACTAGTATGACTTCACTAGCGTTGTTTACACTGGAACTTTTGACAGGGGCACAAAGGCCACTTTGGCCGTGAATTGCATTTTTTTTCACAGGGCATCACGGCCAAAGTGCGGGGCAACGACGGCCATGGCCGTCGTGAAATTCCAACCCTGGTGTGTGTGTGTGTGTGTGTGCTCACGCTTTTGAGCGTGCTCTATAGTTCCCGTAATAGCGTGCACTGGAGTCCATTGTTATGCACTGTGTGTGTGTGGTTTTGCTCGGTGTATCTCAACGTAACCCCCCCCCGTGCGTAATTAGCACATCGGACAGCACCTCAGCACCCCCACTCAAAATACCTTCCCGTGCCTCTGCACTTATATAAAACATATCATGCTGTATCCTCCGGCGCTCACCCTCTCCTGAAGCAGGTCCACCAGCTGCTGTATGCAGTCGTTCACGCTGCAGGAGTCGGTCTTCAGCACCAGCTCTGGAGCCTCCGGCTTCTCGTACTCTGAGTCTATCCCTGTGAAACCTGAGGAAATAAAGACGAATAAATGCCCAGTCTGAGCTTTGTCTTATTGGCAAAATATCAGTTTATCAACATGAAAAGCTTAGGTTTGTTGTTTTTCCATTATTGGATGGATTTGAAATGGACACTGTATGAAACTGATATCCTGTTGAAGCAGTTTGAAATCTATTCTCTCAAAAGTACTCAAAAATGACACAATAAGAAACTACTTGTCTCCGTATTCTTATATCAAGAATTACGACACAAGTAAGTTTAGCAGTTTAGAGTTTGCAGTCAGAAAATTGCCATTTGTTAGAAAAATAAAGCAGAATTATTCTCGGGATTACAGTGAAGCTACAGAGAACAGGTCAGGACTGAATTCCATCTCAATGACGAATAATGTTTCAACCAAAGACAGAATGAAAACTCGAACAAACGGCAATATGATGTACAGATATGACACACAACTCCGGAAGCACAGTGAGATCTCTCCCCTGAATGAACCATAGCACAATTAACCACAATGTGATAAGATACTTCCTCTGACAGTGATGCATCAGTTTTAGGTCACTGTCATGTCATTTCTGAGTATTTTCACATGTGAAACATTTGTACAAACATATATAAAAGTCTTGGAAATTATAGTATTTACATGTTAAATATTCTCTTTTACATTTGCATTCATAAAAGAAGTATCATATGTAATTTCAATATGACTGTGTGCACTGTCAAAGCAATATGTTAATAATCAACAGTATGAAACCATAATGCACCTCTTATCTCCCCGGCTCTGGCTCTCTTGTACAGCCCTTTCACGTCCCTCTGCTCACAGACATCCAGTGGAGCATCCACAAACACCTCAAAGAAAGGAAGCCCTGCCGCCTCATGGATCTTCCTGGCGTTGAGGCGGTCCTGACAGACAAAACACACATTGAGTTACAAACATGACTTGCTTACATAGGAATACAAAGCATGGCTCATCTGGATTTGTTGTAACTAAACAGAAATCTGTGTAATGATGGATTATATCTTAATAGAAATTAAAATAACATAATCACTGCAGATATTTTTATCTTCAATTATTATTTTCGAAACTTAAAACTGATATTGAATTGTTTCATTAATCCCTGACATGATCAGTAATGGCATCATTATCAAACAAAGATCCATTAGTCATTCCAAAACAGTCCAAACATTTTTACGCAAGGCCAGATCTCATTCAAATGTGGCTCAACAAAGATTTGATAACAAAACAACCGACACATTTCATATAGCATCAGTAAGGTCCGATCATATCCCTGTGTTATCTGTTCCTCTCGTTAAAGCGCTGATGCTCTCTCTGCAGAGTCACTCACCCTGCCGTAGGGAGAGATGAAGCTGGCGATGCAGACCAGCCCAGCATCAGCAAAAAGCCGAGCCACCTCAGCGATGCGTCTAATGTTCTCTTCGCGGTCCTGAGGGCTGAAGCCTAGATTTTTGTTCAACCCCTGGCGGATGTTGTCCCCATCTAGTGAGTAGCAGGGAATACCGTGACACACCAGGTACTCCTCCAGTGCCATACTCACTGTGGTCTTACCTGCACCCGACAAACCTTGAAAAAGCAAAAAATCTGCATTAAAAAAGCAAAAAGATGTACAGATGCAGAAAGGACAGCTTAATAATTACATAACCTACCGCTCAGCCAGACGGTGCACCCTCTGAATCCTCCTCTTGTGCCCACAACCTGCCCGCGCTTGTTTCGACTGACATGATGAGCTTGATAGGTGACATTAGTCGCACGTTGCATTCCCTGAAATGATACAGATTCACTTTTCATTCAGCCTTCTTAAGGTGCAAATATACAAGTTCAGAAAAGAAAGGATATCAACATTTTTAAAAAGAAAAGTGCGTGTGATAAAGCTTCTTTGATGTAATGGCATTTACAAATGTCTGTTTTTAAGGATTATCAAAGCGGTTGTCTTATTTGTTGTTAATCGCCTAATTGTTCTAGCTCTGTACGTTTGTCTGGTATATTACAGCTTGTTTGCTGTATCTCAGAGGACCTGATTATATCAATGTTACTAGTTAGTATTATAGTGTAATTTTTTTAAATGTCAAGTGCTTAAGTGTCATATAGAGAACCAGAAGCTGTACCACATATGTCTAAGTATGTATTAAAGAAGTTACAATTAAATTAGATCTGATTTCATACAAATTAGGCAGTGGTGTAATGTATTGAAGTACATTTACTCAAGTACTGTACTTAAGTACGATTTAAGGGGGGGACTTGTACTTTATACTTCTACTCCACTTCATCTTGGCAGCAGATATGCTACTTTTTACTCTACTTCATTTATTTAACAAAATTAGTTACTGATTACTTTACATATTTAGATTATAAACAAAAAAATATCTAAAACATTATCTATTATATATAATGATACGATGCCAATTATTGTGTACTATGTTGTATGCAGAACTTTTTTGTTGTAACAAAGCATTCTTCCACTCTTTAACTTAACAATACAACTCTGGCAGTAGGTCACCTGGGATAAGCAGTTGAAAGCAAACAAACAATTGCACTGATGTAGGATCCACAATGTGTAGTTGATGATATCACTGTTAAATTAAATTAAACAAGAAGTTAGTGCTCTCCTATTAACTGTGTAGGGCAGCAGTTAAATCCTTAGCCACTCTCCTGTCTCGGTGCTATTAGCAACCAAGGATTTAAATATATTACTAGCATAACGGTTACTATAACAGGAATATTTTTAAGATATCTTATTAGCTGGTAGTCTGGCCAGTTAGCTTATTAGTAGCCGGTTAGTCGAATTGATGAATGGTGTCGAATAAAAAAAACTTAGCAAAAGAAAAACTCACCCAGTTTTCAGCAGCGTTGGCTAGCTTCTGTTTCTTGTTCGAGTTGCCACACGTTTCCATGGCTGCCAGCAGTCAGCGCCTGAGTCAACCGGCTACCTCTTTATTTCAAAACACACACAAAACGACCAAATGCTCGACTTTTGATTTTATAGTACAGGTATTTTTAATTGTTGGTCACTGTACAGGTATCTCCAGTGAATGGAGGACCCCGGCTTAGCACAACAACCGGGAAGCGCTTCCCACCCAGCCGCCACGTCAGCGTCGACGCAATGACGTATTTCCGCAGTCAGTCGTCATAACGGGGCAAACTAAACTGATCTGATGTCAGTTTTGCTGCGTGATCGTGTCTCAGAGCCGTGGCTGGCTAACTGACTTACTGATCTGTGACCAGTACTTACAAAGCAAAGTATTCGTAGTTAAAAAAGATCGAATGAAGTTCTTATTTAAAATATTGAGATATATCTTTTGTAAAATTTATGTTTTTAATAGAAAACTGTATTTGTTTGACACAAATTGCTATAAATGTGTGAGAATACTTAAAATGATTGGAATTATGTATAACTAAATAAGCAAGGAGGTATTTTGTATGGGATTGTTATGATGTTTTATTTCACTCTTACATAATATAAAAACGGTAAAAAAAAATAATATTTTTTTTAAAGAATCGTATGTCCATAATAAACGCACATACGAGGATTCTAAAAATAAACATTTAGCTACTCCACCTAAATGCTCAAAGATGTGCAACTCGCAGAACACCTATTTTACATGCGGGCAGAGTTACAGGCTTGTGCTGATTACAGGACTCTCACTCTGAATTAAAGGGGATGGGAGGCAGGAGGCTGGAGGCTGGGTACTGAGGCTGGCTGGATGTGAGAATCTGTCGGGCTTCGGGGAGGAGCGCTCCCTCAAAAGCGAGCGGCACCGCCGGGTAATGTAGCAGTCCAGTGTGATCCGAGCCGAGCAGCGAACAGGGCGCAGCATCAGAGATCCAGGGAGCTGCAACTACAGGAAGAGGCGCTAGGAGGCCCGACCAAGGCAGGTAGGATGCTAAAAAACTGTGCAACATGTGTATAGACACATTATCTTCATGTGATCGTCGGTATATGTTGGGGGTCATGTCTTTAATTGCTTTATTGTTGTGTCATCCCCAATATGATGATAGCCTCCAGCGAGATTGTATAGGTTACTCTTGACATTCAACTTCTTTCTTTTTTATCAGTGTTGCTACAGATGATGAAATTACACTGTCGATATGAATTCTAGGAGACATAGTCAATATTTGTATTTGTTGCATAAGGCTCAGTGTCCGCATACATTCATGCGAAAAAGTTTTATTCGGTGAATCAGGAGACATCATCTGGTCGACTAGCCTCTAGAGTCTACGTGGTTTGATGATGTCAGGTTAACACTGAATTTTGTTTGGCTATTTTTCAGTTGCATCATTTGACGCACAAAGATAAACACAGGCTTAAAATGTTATTTCTGATACATAGGATATCCTGTATTGATTGTGTATGCTTGTGTTACAGTTCTTTTAATCCTTGTATAATAATACAGTTGTCAATTACCAACTGCAATAGCTTTGAATGAAAAGGAGAGGGCTTAATTACAGGATGAGCAATGACCTTTTGCCCCACCCAGTAGCCTCTTATGGAACATGGTGTTTAACACTGGTCTACACCCCAAAAGTAAACTTCAAACCCGGCTGTGCTGCACACATCACAAGTGATAGACTTCTGACCTGTAATAACTGGGAGGCATGGGAGACACCCAGTCCCTGACATTACCGCCAGTATCCGCCCCACATGTGGTTGTGGCTCCCAGAAAAGTTGGGGCGCCTCCAGTTAGACCATTTTGGCTTGTAGGCTATAAAAGTTTCACCGCAGAACTACAACACATACTTTATTCTGTCAGAATATGTGTTTGTATTGAGGAGCATCTTTACACAGTTAGCTCCTGTTATACAGTTTGCATGCGATCCAGTGCAGGAAGTCAACAGCTCTGTGGTAAAACCAAAGGTTAAAAATGCACTCTATTGCCATGATATTCATGGTATATGAATACAAAAGATTGTAACAAATATGATTACGTTACTACGACTGTCAATCATAATCTACTATTACTAATCAGTGAAAGAGTAGTACATTTACCGAAACACTGAACTAGTCATACTTATTTCCATTTTGTGCAACTTTATACGACTACTCTACTACATTTTGGAGAGAAACATTGTAATTCTGCTTCATAGTCTACATTTATTTGACAGCTATAAATATATGAGATTAAGAGTAGATGGAGTATAAAGTGAGAGGCTAAGCCTGAATCAACTTTGAAATAAAAACACCTTTATACAAAAAGAGCACTTTTCAATTGTGTTACAATACATACTGTACATCTCTTTACTTTGGCAATTATTTCAAAGCAGGGTTTTTAAATGTTGTATTTAGAATTGTATTATTGTGCAACTTTCATTGAAGTAAAGGATCCAACACATTCTCTCACCACTGCTATGAGGTTAACTATTTTTGAACAGCACATCTTGTTATTTAAATGAAATTATCCTTTTTTTAATATCACAAAACGATTGAAGAGATTGTCTTTTAATTGAAATAAATAGATAGATAAATGTGGATGTTGGCGTCAAATAATTCAATCAATTGAACTTTACTGGAAAAATGATCTGTTTCTACAATTAAACCAAACATGACAATATTAAAACCTATGATGTACTGCTGAACAGTGATTAACCGTAATTACATTTCAGAACATGTAGTCAACTCCTCTCTGTATGTTATAGGCTCCCAGAGGGATGGGCCACCTCTGGTTTGACTTATATTTAACCCTCCTTTTGAGGAAGGACAATCCGCAAGATGTAAAGAAGAAAATGAGTGGACGGCAATAGAAGTATGTTATTATGAATGTCCCGAAATGGAGTCAAAGCCTTGGAGCCCCTGGAGTAAAATACAGCCTTGCAGGCAGCTGGGTGGCTTCTCTTGAAATAGCTTGAGCGAGTGGAAGCAGCCAAATTATCCATTTGGGCCTGTGACCATGTGGAATAGGGGTTCCTGCCAGTTTTCCATCACCACCCAACCTCTTTAGTGCTGGGTGCATGACTGGTGGGAAAACACTGACTACTGTACACTGGGGAGGAAGAGACCGGGGGAAAACTCTGGTGACCGGCCTGTACAGTGCACATGCAGTCTCACATGTCTCCCATCTGCTTTATCACTGATCTTTAACATGTAGTATTCAAGGTTACAAGATAACATATAGGACATAAAGAGTTGTATGTTTTAAAAGGAAAAATCCACTCCAACACAGAAGGTATTGTGCCTCTCCGACAATTTTGGAATGTAAAGTCAATATTTACAACTACTACGCCCTCCACTCGCCTAAAATTAGAGACTGTCCTCACCAGACCAAAAAGTATTGGTCATTTGTGCAAATACATCTAAAATATCTCTATGTTTTCCTTACAAGTGCCCTCATGTAGCGGTAGGACTATTAACTGAAACTGACTTTGACACCACCACTATATTACGTCTCCTACTCGTAATACAACAGTCAAAGTTTCTGGTATACAGGACGACAATCTTTAAGTCACATTGACAAAATATTTGATAGTTCAATCTTATCCTTTAAAATCCAAATGAGAATCAGAAATTCTTTATTAGTCATCCAGAGGGGAAATGTACATAGTTACAGCAAAGAGACAATACGGATAAAGACCAAATGAAACTGTATTTATTAAAGTGGCCAGCACAAATGAATATACATTTTAAGTGGAATAATAAACACTTTCCAAGTACAAAAAAGTAAGTAGCAGCATTATAAAATTAAGTTAAAGAAAGTGATGAAGTAACTGCCAGATGACGGTATATCTGGCAGCTTTTTTATTACTTTTTACCTACCTTTTTTAGGGGGTTTAAAGTCCCCTTATAGCTTTTTCTGGAGCTTTCAACCTTATCTCAGAGACTTTTTTGTCTTTTAGCATTCTGACTCTGAGGTGGGACTTTTTCAACCAAGTATCGTTTTTACCCTGACCACAATATTTCCATTTGGTTATTCTTAAATGTAACCAAACCTTACATTTTTTACACTTTATTTCAAAGCAGTGTGTCCTGCCATCTCTTGTTTAAGGCACTGAGAGTGTTGCACCTCTCACCAAAACTAGCATCAGCTTTGTTGAGAGGCACTGATGTCATGCACTGTCATAGTGTTTCATTAGTCACAGTCTGTGGAGCAGCGGCAGGATTTGTCTCTAGATGACATTGTCACCACAGTCTGTCCCTCTCATGTTTGCTTTAAGGACAGACCATTTCAAATTCACAAGGTTAAACTGAGCTGGTCAACATAAGAGAAGTAAAACATATTTGTACAAATAAGAAACTCACATACATTAATGAGACACTTTGCTATTCCAGCTAAGTGTGACTCAACAAATTCATAAATGTCTTTGACATGTAGTCCCACAGTTGCAGTATAACTAACCACAGAGCTGCAATATGATCCCCATAATGACATAAGAATGATGGCGCTGTAATTGGCTTATATTGTTTGTCTGCTCTTCTGCTTCTTATTGTTGATCTTATTGGCCATCTTGGTAGGTATGTATATCTCCTATGACCTCTTTAACTCACTCAAAGTCTGACCGTCAGTGTTCTGTATCCATCCATCAGTTGCATAACAGAGGCTAGATTTGCTATGGGTTAGTAAGAGGCCATCCTATAATAATCCTTTAATAATATTTCCCCAAAAATGGATTCTGAGGAAACTGATACTTTCAGCAGCGCTCTTGGATCCAGCCATACCCCATTTATAACCTCCATTGTTTCCTAGTGCAAGGTTTGCCTCAAAGTAGGCTTTCCGTACTGTTTGTTTCCTGGATGACATTCACTGTAATGCATTTCAGGGCTAATAGCAGAATCCTGAAAATCCATTAATGGGGCTGTAAAAGAGACTAGAAGCCTTTTAGACATGAAAGGATGAAAGTGATCACAACAAAACATTACAAACATTTCCCAAGCTCCTCCAATTTTCTCTTATGAGCATCAATACAAATATTGAATTGACTCAAAACAATCTTTATCTTATTTTATTTAGTTTTGCCTTATACTCAATTTTAGTTTTTTTTTTTTACCTGATAATATATAATACATGTATAATATAAGGCGTGTGGCGCGGTGGATAGAGCCTTGGTGTTGGGGTCAGGGGGTCACAGGTTCGAACCCCACTGCAGTCAGCATGTCGTTGTCTCCCTGGGCAAGACA